CCCTGCCAGGCCATTGCTCGGATTGATTTTAGAAGGGAACCCCACGTTTTTTGTTTTTTATTTTTGGGTGTTGGGGTCCCCCTTAAAATTCCTACCAGATCTAAAGGGTCTGGTATAAATGTGTTGGGGAACCACACACTTTTTTTTAATATCAGGGGTCCTTCCTAATATTCTTACCAGACCTAAAGGGTTGGGTGCGCAGTTTTCTTTCTTTTTTTAAGATTTGTTTACAATTTTGCAGGGAGAACGGTCTGCCGTTCTCCTGTGCTTCGGCTCAGCTGAGCTGTTCGGCTACTGTACGGGCTATTGTGAATAGCCCATACAGCAGCCCTTTGGTTCGGCTCAACCGAAGGGCTCCGTCGGCCAAAGTGAGCAGAAGGATTAGCCAAAGCTATGGCTATATCCTTCGGATGAATAGCGAATAACCTTCTAAATCTTCAATACTCATTCTGTTTTTGCAGAGGGAGGAATTTAAAATAAGTCTTACCGGGAGCTTCGGTTGGGCAATTCTGAAGTTGACAAGTCTGGCTACTTTCTGGTTTTGTAGATGGATCACATCCCTGACTCATCTCCTCACCCTGATAACATTTTACTTCTCTCAGTTGATGTCCAGAGCCACAGGTCTTACTGCACTGTGTAAAAAAGACATATAAAGTAAAAACTATATATTGAATTTACCATTATTAACATGACAAGACATGGTTAGCCATCACCAGACAAACAAATGACAGTATTCATCTAATAAGATAAGAATAAGAATTTTGCTTAGTTGTCAGTACAGACAAAACTTATTTCATTACTGGTAGGCTGAGTTACAAACCGGTTTCATTTAGGGACTTTATTGGTGTGATTTCTTTTCCAGAGCTTGGATAGTTGCTTTGGGAATACAGTCATAGATTAGCGGTTGTCATAGTATGCTAAACATGATACGCAGTAACCACTGTGGAGAAATTACATCAATTTTACAAGTTTTACTTAACCACCTCCCTAAAACTGTATTGTAAAAAAATGGCGGGGAGGCGGACAGCTACCGGTATGTCTGGAATGACGTCTCAAGACGTCATTCCACAAATAGCCGTTGTGTATCCCTGTGTATCATAGCATAAGCATTGTACATTGCCATGTTGTATTCACATACTTTCATTTCCTTATACTAAGCAATAGTTTCCCTGTAATAAAACTCACTGGTCCCCATTCAGATGCTGTCCAGTGATGGTCACATGGAGGTCCCAGGCAGGGCTTCTCAGAAGAAGGTTTTAAGCTCTCATCACATTGGCTGATTTCTGTTGAGCATTTGACTTCCCTTGTCACCATTCCCTCTGATCCACAGGAAGCAGAGCACTTCACAAAGACAACAAATGTAAAACAGTCAGTCTCAGGTACTGTATATATAAAGAATCAGGCTCTCCCTTTCACATATGAAATGAAGAAAATTAACTGGCTGCAATGGACCAAAGGTATAGCTCAACTTGCCATTTATCTATAAAAATGGTGTCTGTTATCATCTGTTGTCTTAAAACGGGCTTAGGTTATCAGACAGATATTAAAAGCCAACACCATACAAGACTGATATTTTAGTTTGAGTGGAGGCTGCTAAACTGAATAACATGCTGGATTGCAAATAATTTACATCTAGTACAGTATCTAACTGTACTAGAATACTCAGGTATCCAGGCTGGCTGTGCTGTTTGGAAGAACTGCAAAAAGCTCAGGAATAAATAGAAAAACAAATCATTTGCCATGCATTTTCAGTTTGAATCAACTGAATAAGCTAGTCTAACACAGGCCGTCTTAAACTTTTTCCACTTGTGACCCCTTTTCAGCCAGGAAAATATTTACGTGACCCCAGCGTCGGACGGTGTCTCTACCCTCTTCCCAGCAATAGTCAGTGTCTCTCTCCTCCTCTCCCCCCTCCCAGAGCGTCAGTCGGTGTATCTCCTCTCCCTCCCTGTGTCGGTCAGTGTCTCTCTCCTCAAACCCCCCATCCCCTCCATTGGTCTGTGTCTCTCTCCTCAAACCACAACCCCCCCAGCGTAGGTCAGTGTCTCCGCCCCCCACCCCCAGCATTGTCTCTCTCCTCCTCCCCCCTCCCCCCATCGGTTGGTGTCTCTCTCCTCCTCTCCAACTCCCTAGCCCTCCCCCCGCCGCTGTGGACGGACAGTTGGTCGGTCGGTGTCTCTGTCATCAGCTTACATTTCCCCTCCAGCAGCTGTGCTCTGCTTCTGCCCGGTTAAAGAAAGCTCCGCCCCCTGAAAAAGAAACCTTTCTGCACGCACGTGCTCAGGAAGGTACCAAGTGCAAAGGGGGAGGCCCGCGATCTTAACAATTACACTGCACATATTAAACTATACTAAAACGTATTTTGCTTGGAGCCAAAGCCCCTCATACAAGTACTGACCCTACCCCCCTGATGGCGGCCCTGGCCAGGGATTTGGATCGCGACCCCCCTATTCACTTGTGCGACCCCATGTGGGGTATTGACCCACACTTTAAAGGAGAACTATGGGGTCAGTGTTTTTCCCCATAGTTCTCCTTGGGGTAACGGGAGGACACAAACTAGCGTCCTCCCGTCACCCTAAGCTCAGTATATCGCGAGCTACAGCTCGCGGTATACTGAGACGCCGCACCTGGAGCGGATCCCGACTTAGATGACGGGATCCGCCCAGCTGCGTGAGTGACAGCTGGCTCTGCCTATCTAGAGGCAGAGCCAGCTGTACCCGCCCCCTCCCCCGTCCGTTCCGCCAGTCAGCGCTGGCAGATCGGAGCGGGGAGAGGGGAATCCAGCCCCTCCCCCTGTCACGGCAGAGAGCCGTGACAGGATCGAGAGGTGAGGGAACCCGGTATGTTTTCCCTCACCTCCCGATCTACAGAGCCGACCTGTGACAGTCTCATTGTCACAGGTCGGCTTAGAACTATGACGTGAGTGGAAATCACTCATGTCATAGTTCTCCTTTAAGAAGCCCTGGTCTAACCAATCATGAGCAACAACTTAAATGCACCACAAAAGTAATATACTAAAAACATCTCTGGTAAAATAATAAACGATTGTTCAAATGACTTGCATACTTGACATCCCCCCCCCCCCCCCCACAAAAAAACAA